TATTTAAAAAGCATATTTTCGTTAAAATACTTGCTAAACAATAGATTTAAAAATTGCAGTAAAAGATTGGAATCAAACTTGAAAATCGAAAAAATAGACTATCTACATTAAGAAAAAAAGAAAATCGCGGACTCCCGACTGAGAGATAAAAGCGTCCAAATGAGAGAGACGATCCTGTATTGAAAAAATTAACACATATTACATCTTTATCAGGTCTGTCTATTATTTCGAAGTAACTTGCCTTAGGATTGTTCGCGACGAAAAAGCCGAGTTTTATCTCAGATTCAAATCCCAAAGTCCGATCCTTAGGGTCTTCTGTTTGTTGAGCTGGCTCTTGCAATTTCTTTATCATTCCTTTAGAAAGCATGCGGAAATCCTGTCAAATGAGAATGGTGTATCTTAATTATCTATATAAATAGGATACACTAATCATTTAAAAAATTTGGCAAATATTTTTCTGTTTCGAATAAATAGTAACTAAACTGGATTAAGTTTGTTAGAATACTACCTTCGTTGCTCCCCCGTTAGCCAGTACGCCGTACAGTTTGGCAATACTTTTGGGTGTGCCTATGCCCATCATGGACGCCAAAGGTATCCTTAATATTTCTATCTGATTTAAACTTTGTTTCTGTAAAGTATAAATTTTTTACAGGTAAATACATAATTTTCATGTTACCTTTTATCTATTTTATATAGACAAGGTACACCAAATAAAACAGTTGCGTAGACACAAATGTGTATCACAATGTTCAAGCATAAAATTTGATTTACAAATTAATTGAAAAATTCTAGTCAAGTGCATATTTATATATTCTGCAAACACACGCACGTGCATTCTTACGTTAAGAAAAGCCGCCGACGACATTGCCTTTTGAGCTAGAGGGTCAAAGAGCATATGCTTATACAAATTGAACGACTCGAAATTGGCAGTTAAGATGTTGTGGACAAAGCCCTCCGCTAATCCCATCATATAAAGTCTAGACATTCTATACATCTCCTCTGGTGGAAGACCGATGAAAAAATCCAGACCTGTCATAAAGACCAACAAGTGGTGTGTTATAATTCAAATTATGTACTTTTTGGGAATAATTACAAAATACTGATGATAGCAGCTAAATATTACTTTATTTTTACTTTCGATAAAAGATGTCGAAAATTAAGCATTAAATTATCAAAATAATAATGAAAATAATTTACGGAATCTAAAACCTGAATAAATTTCATTACCTTGTCTTTAAAGATCAATGTCAACGCCAACTATTTCTTTCTTCATAAAAACAAACTTTCCTAGATCAAACTTTGAATTAATGTAGATACACGGACGTTTCTTTCCATTTGTTTCTCTTTTTGTTAACAGCTGTAAACTTCTCGGGTTACCAGACATTGAAACTGAAATTTAGAAGTTAAATAGCGCAAAAGAAAAGAAGATTACCAAGTGGCTTTGCTAACTCTTCCTTAAAAAACTGTTGGACACCTCTCTTCTTTGGGTCTGCGCGTCTCATTAGCTGGTCCACATACATACCAAATGTGAGGGCATGGTATCCATGAGCGGTGCCTAGTGATAGAAAATTAAATGATATAAAATACAGGTTTGCGTGTGAAACACTGAAGTGAAACAATCTTCATTAGCAAATCCTCCGCACTGGACAGTCTTGAAATTATTGCCAACATAGATAACCCTGTGTGTATTGCGTTACACACACGCAAAAAATTAATTTATTAATAAATTATAAAAAAAAGAAATAATTTTTTATTAATTATTTGAACAAGAAAAAAAAAGTGTTTGCCAAGCTGTGCACCTATACTAATATAATAGACTATAAACTAAACTGTACCCCACCTCTTTCTATTAGCTTGAAATAATCCCCCTCCCAAGAACCCCAGTGCAGAAATTAAGACTTCATTCACATGCAATGTCTATTTTCTAAATTCTATTTTCTATTTGCGGTATGTCTTATGATCACGGTCTGTGCCCTGAATATCCCGCGGCGTAATTACTGGCAGCGCGAGCCAGTTACTATAAGTTACTATAAGTAACTGGCTTGCGCTTCCAGTAATTACGCGGCGGGATATTCAGGGCACAGACCGTGATCATAAGATAGCGCGAATAGAAAATAGAATTTAGAAAATAGACATTGCATGTGAACGAAGCCTAAGTGTACTATGTCCATCTAAATTTCAAGTAGACACAAAAGCTTATAAGAAATAAACTCTGTGAAAATCGACTCTCCAATACCTGGTTTCCAAAATGGTTTTTGTCCTGCAAGAAGCTTGCCAAATTCTTCCGTGTTATTGTGCAACTTTTCTGTCACTTCAAAGTCTACTGCCGAAAGCCCGGCCTTAGTATAAAACAAATAATCCTAAGCACACCTTTATCTAAACTGCAAACACGCCTTTAAAATGCAAATTGAAGACAAAATAAATACGTATCCTGAGGCTAGCTAGATGAATATATTCCTTTTTTAAGGTGTCCCTTTTTAGTCTTTTATATTACCCACATTACCCATTTTACATTAAATTTTATATCACACATTACTTTTCTCCAGCAGGTAGTAATGAAGAAATAAAACACTAAATGATACTTGGTGTCTACCTGATGACTTAACAGCTGGGCCACCGTGACCTTCTCTTTTCCATTCTGTGCAAACTCGGGCCAATAAGTAGCCACAGTCTTATCGTAGTCTAGGTGACCCCTGAAAATAAAAACAATTACCACTTCTTTTGGTCAGGTAACTAGCGTAAAAAATGCAGCAAGGTGGCCTCTTTTGAGCATTATGTAGGGTTTTGTCAGGCTTCAAGCAATTAATTCATGAATAAAATGAATATTGTTCGCAAACATTAGTCACAGCATTTAACAACTGAAACGTTAAGCCATGACTTTCTATCTAGCATTACAGATTATCCAAGCGCAGTTTCTAATTACGTCTGACAAGGGGTTATTGTTGTAGGTCCCGTTAGTTAGTTATTTAGTTAGTATTTGGTATAGAAATTACCAGTACTAATGTGAATTGTTGAAAAGCACAGGTATCCTTGCGAATTGGTCTTTTTAAAAAAGTTCAATGAGAAGACAAAATGAAAATAAAATGCATCATAAATCGAATGCTACAATCTGAATATCAACATCTGACATATTTTTTCACAGAAAAAAAGACTTGGTCTTACTTTACCTGTCAACCAACATGGCCACCATGAGAGCAGCCACGCCTTTTGTTGTGGAAAAGAACAAACCCAAAGTGTCTTCCTTCCACGGGACCCCTTCTCCCTGCGTATCTCTGTAACCACCCCATATGTCCACCACCAGTTCTCCTTTATGGTACACTGCAAAGCCTCCACCCTTTTCCTGGCCAGACTTGAGCATATCACTGCAAGAATGGATTCACAATAAGCTAGTACACAGTTCACACATTCAAAATGGATTGATCAATCGCTCAAAACAGTCAAAATGAGTAAAATACTTGAACATGTTTAGGTTGGTACGAAAGGGTATTGCTGTCAAGTCCTTTTGATTTATTTTGAAAATTCGGGTAAGCATCTCAACATTTTTACTTCGTAACATGATAGTATGAATTAGTATGCCAAAATTTTAAGTTAGTATCTCGAAATTTCGAGTTGCTAACTCGATATCTAAAAAATAGCAAACAAAAAAATGCCAGTAACACGTTTCCATATATTCTAAAATTTCTAGATAATACACTAACTCGAAATCTGGAGTTACTCGAAATTCGAGATTTCAAAATATTCAAAATAACATTGAAACAAAGTGGCAACAATACCCACTGTTGGTTAAAACACTTGAAGTTCACAATAATTTTTAATATTCATATCATCATATGCCCAACTGCAGCTGTCTCAGAGGAAAACGTGAAAAAGGTCTTAAAGGCAAAGGAGGGGTTTTTGATATCAAACCAAATTCAGTTATCTTACCTGAATAAGATATATAAGTATTACACAGCATTGACTGCGAAAATAAAATCAGGATTTCAGACTATGGGATTAAAAAAAGACAAAAACTGCTTTATAAGTAACCTAAGTAACCTAATATATAAACATTAATTACACACAAATCAAATATAATACCCCTGGTTTAAAAAGAATGGGGGATGGGATGATTTTGAACATTAATTTATCTCCAAGTAAAATAATTTTGTATCTGACGTCGCACTGCAAATTAAGGTGATTGAATGCATAGAATATTTATTGAGAGAAGGGGGTAAAAGAGGCTCCAAACCATTTTGGTTTAAATTGATTCTGAAGGCTTATGCCCAGACAAAAAACAATGTGTACTTTTCTTAATACGAAACAAATAATAAAATAATAAATAACAATGTTATATCTAATTCTATTTAATAATGCGTATCAATTATGACAATGACTGCAACTGTAAAATTTTTTTGATTATCGGTTAAAAAAGGATTTCCCATCTTCAAACTGAACAATATGGATTAATATGATATTTGCCGACGTACATGTACTTTACCTGGTCAAATAAAGGCTATCACAAAGCAAACATGGTAAGAGAACCTTCATTACGTAACCTTGATCATGCACTATGAAGGGCTAATTCAGGGGGGCCCCAGGTCCCTTTATACAAAACTAAAAGTTAATACCGCTACCGCATAAACAGAGAAAACATCCATCCTTGAGGCCACAGTTGCACATTATAATGCACATGCGGGGAAGGTAGAATGTTGGATGTCTAGGTGCTATGCCAACACCAGAGTGGTGAAAATCTTTCCGACTGTCTCCACAGATTTTAATTAAAATATGGAGTCGGTAAGATGATGTTTACTTCGACCTTGATTCTGACATAGAAAAATAAATTAACCCCCTAATGACGCTCGCTTACCACGACAAGAACATACCAATTAATGATTTATAAGAACATGCATGAAGACTTGACTCTCTGGAGCATAGTAATGAAGCCACTATGTGGTACTAGCATACCCACTTTAAAATAAAACTGTTACCCTACTATATTTATTCTCTGAGCACCATAACTATGTTACAAAATTATTGTACTTTAATAGTGTATACTAATTTAGGCCCCTGATATCAGATGGTAATTATCTTATGTTACAGGCTTGTGGGCAGCAATTTTTATTACATGTGAGTGTGTGTGTGTGCGTGTGTGTGTGGGGTGGGGGGGGGGGGGTGGGGGGGCTGGGAGGGGTAATTACTCAGAAAAAAATGCGACTTACGAGAGGCTCATGCGCTTAAGAAGCGTATAACTTACAGATCTAATGTTTTAAACTTAAATTTTCATGTTACATAAATAAATATCACTGTTCATAGAGTCTAGCCTTTACTGGGCAGTCTCGTCCTTCACAATAAACATCAACACCGGTATGATATTGCTGAATCATGGCTAAAGTGATGCAAGGGGGTGTGTTAACGGTTCGTATAGTATCACGTCAGCTGAAGAACAAGGGGTTAGGTCAGTAATGGGGGGGGGGGACCCACCTGTACACCTTTGCCACTTTCTTCCACCCTGGTGCCGTCCATCCTTGAACGTCTCTCACTGGAAGCCGGTTCAAATAGTTCGGTATATATGTCACTGCAATTGCAGTTAAGAGCACTATCCCTGCCACTTTCCAGGCCGACATGATCAGCGTGTAATCAGTAGTTGACCCAGTATTGTGGCTATTATTAGATCTGACTGTATTTATGTTTAAAGTGAGTTGTGTGTATCCTGGATGATTTTTGTCTTGTTCAATGCCGCTATGTCTATCACCTGCCTTAATTTATTCACATACCGCACGCGTTAATCTTGAATATTTGCTCGCGATCGTGTTTCATACCTTACCAAGGATTTTCTCACATCAAACAATGCATGCACTGCCCTGTCAATTATTGAATTAAAAAAAAAAATTAAGTTTAGTATTGTTTCGTAAAACAATTTAAGGTAAATATTAAATAAGAAATGTGCATTTGCCAATTTTGTTCAGATAGGCTATTACATTGTATCACATAGGCCCCTTATCGAGCGGTGCATTTAACTGGAATATGGTCGAGATCGTTTCACGAAAGACAGTAAAAAATAAGTTTAGCTNACGGCGACGACAGACGCAGGTGATGGCAATATGTACAGACACATCTGTGTCTGTACATAAAAATGCGTTTTGGTGGCAATTTACCCCTCATTCTGAACGGACTGGGTGATTTTTGTTTAGTTGCAACAGCATATCCTGAAAGACAGTGGGTCCTGTACTCTGGTGGTAAGATTTTAATACATTGGGTGTGGCCTCTATGTAGGTACATCAGTCTGGGCATTACTCTACTAGTATAAAACTGTGCGGACCGTTTCGTTTGGCGCAATTAACTGTCTGGCAATGTCTGTCTTTTTCGCGCCATTTTGCCACAGATTAACAAACTTGCAAAGCACTGCATAGCTCATTTTACACACTGCAAAACCGACCACTTGCATGCAAAATTTCAAATTCTTCTATGCAGTAGTTACCGACATATGGATTCTTTTCTGACAGAACCGTGCTTTGCCAAAGCCAAGCTTTGACCTGCCCAAAGGAGCACTACCCAATTAAATTACTTCCTATTACATAATGCAGCAGCGTAACAAACCTGGTATTCAGTTAATTGGAAGCGACACACCTGACTTCACACTTCTCCATTCACATATCTTATATGAGATCTTAGTTTTTTGAAAAATGAACGCATTTCTACCTAGGCACACCTTCGAAACTAAAATATTCCATATTAAATGTCAAGTCTGTATTTGAACAAGAAATAAAAAAGTGTTTGCCAAGCTGTGCACCTATACTAATATAATAGACTATAAACTAAACTGTACCCCACCTCTTTCTATTAGCTTGAAATAATCCCCCTCCCAAGAACCCCAGTGCAAAAATTAAGTGTACTATGTCCATCTAAATTTCAAGTAGACACAAAAGCTTATAAGAAATAAACTCTGTGAAAATCGACTCTCCAATACCTGGTTTCCAAAATGGTTTTTGTGCTGCAAGAAGCTTGCCAAATTCTTCCGTGTTATTGTGCAACTTTTCTGTCACTTCAAAGTCTACTGCCGAAAGCCCGGCCTTAGTATAAAACAAATAATCCTAAGCACACCTTTATCTAAACTGCAAACACGCCTTTAAAATGCAAATTGAAGACAAAATAAATACGTATCCTGAGGCTAGCTAGATGAATATATTCCTTTTTTAAGGTTTCCCTTTTTAGTCTTTTATATTACCCACATTACCCATTTTACATTAAATTTTATATCACACATTACTTTTCTCCAGCAGGTTGTAATGAAGAAATAAAACACTAAATGATACTTGGTGTCTACCTGATGACTTAACAGCTGGGCCACCGTGACCTTCTCTTTTCCATTCTGTGCAAACTCGGGCCAATAAGTAGCCACAGTCTTATCGTAGTCTAGGTGACCCCTGAAAAATATAAACAATTATCAATTCTTTTGGTCAGGTAACTAACTGAAAAAATGCAGCAAGGTGGCCTCTTTTGAGCATTATGTAGGGAATTGTCAGGCTTCAAGCAATTAATTCATGAATAAAATGAATATTGTTCGCAAACATTAGTCACAGCATTTAACAACTGAAACGTTAAGCCATGACTTTCTATCTAGCATTACAGGTTATCCAAGCGCAGTTTCTAATTACGTCTGACAAGGGGTTATTGTTGTAGGTCCCGTTAGTTAGTTATTTAGTTAGTATTTGGTATAGAAATTACCAGTACTAATGTGAATTGGTGAAAAGCACAGGTATCCTTGCGAATTGGTCTTTTTTAAAAAAGTTCAATGAGAAGACAAAATGAAAATAAAATGCATCATAAATCGAATGCTACAATCTGAATATCAACATCTGACATATTTTTTCACAGAAAAAAAGACTTGGTCTTACTTTACCTGTCAACCAACATGGCCACCATGAGAGCAGCCACGCCTTTTGTTGTGGAAAAGAACAAACCCAAAGTGTCTTCCTTCCACGGGACCCCTTCTCCCTGCGTATCTCTGTAACCACCCCATATGTCCACCACCAGTTCTCCTTTATGGTACACTGCAAAGCCTCCACCCTTTTCCTGGCCAGACTTGAGCATATCACTGCAAGAATGGATTCACAATAAGTACACAGTTCACACATTCAAAATGGATTGATCAATACCTCAAAACAGTCAAAATGAGTAAAATACTTGAACATGTTTAGGTTGGTACGAAAGGGTATTGCTGTCAAGTCCTTTTGATTTATTTTGAAAATTCGGGTAAGCATCTCAACATTTTTACTTCGTAACATGATAGAATAAAAATAGCAAACAAAAAAATGCCAGTAACACGTTTCCATATATTCTAAAATTTCTAGATAATATACTAACTCGAAATCTGGAGTTACTCGAAATTCGAGATTTCAAAATATTCAAAATAACATTGAAACAAAGTGGCAACAATACCCACTGTAGGTTAAAACACTTGCAACTGAAGTTCACAATAATTTTGAATATTCATATGCCCAACTGCAGCTGTCTCGGAGGAAAACGTGAAAAAGGTCTTAAAGGCAATGGAGGGGTTTTGATATCAAACCAAATTCAGTTATCTTACCTGAATAAGATATATAAGTATTACACAGCATTGATTGCAAAAATAAAATCAGGATTTCAGACTATGGGATTAAAAAAAAGACAAAAACTGCTTTATAAGTAACCTAAGTAACCTAATATATAAACATTAATTACACACAAATCAAATATAATACCCTTGGCTTAAAAAGAATGGGGGATGGGATGATTTTGAGGATTAGTTTATCTCCAAGTAAAATAATTTTGTATCTGACGTCGCACTGCAAATTAAGGTGATTGAATGCATAGAATATTTATTGAGAGAAGGGGGTAAAAGAGGCTCCAAATCATTTTGGTTTAAATTGATTCTGAAGGCTTATGCCCAGACAAAAAACAATGTGTACTTTTCTTAATACGAAACAAATAATAAAATAATAAATAACAACATTATATCTAATTCTATTTAATAATGCGTATCAATTATGACAATGACTGCTACTGTAAATTTTTTTTGATTATCGGTTAAAAAAGGATTTCCCATCTTCAAACTGAACAATATGGATTAATATGATATTTGCCGACGTACATGTACTTTACCTGGTCAAATAAAGGCTATCACAAAGCAAACATGGTAAGAGAACCTTCATTACGTAACCTTGATCATGCACTATGAAGGGCTAATTCAGGGGGGCCCCAGGTCCCTTTATACAAAACTAAAGGTTAATACCGCTACCGCATAAACAGAGAAAACATCCATCCTTGAGGCCACACATTATAATGCACATGCGGGGAAGGTAGAATGTTGGATGTCTAGGTGCTATGCCAACACCAGAGTGGTGAAAATCTTTCCGACTGTCTCCACAGATTTTAATTAAAATATGGAGTCGGTAAGATGATGTTTACTTCGACCTTGATTCTGACATAGAAAATAAATTAACCCCCTAATGACGCTCGCTTACCACGACAAGAACATACCAATTAATGATTTATAAGAACATGCATGAAGACTGGACTCTCTGGAGCATAGTAATGAAGCCACTATGTGGTACTAGCATACCCACTTTAAAATAAAACTGTTACCCTACTATATTTATTCTCTGAGCACCATAAGTATGTTACAAAATTATTGTACTTTAATATTGTATACTAATTTAGGCCCCTGATATCAGATGGTAATTATCTTATGTTACAGGCTTGTGGGCAGCAATTTTTATTGTGTGAGTGTGAGTGTGTGTGTGTGCGTGTGGGGGGGGGGGGGGGGGGGGGCTGGGAGGGGCTCATGCGCTTAAGAAGCGTATAACTTACAGATCTAATGTTTTAAACTTAAATTTTCATGTTACATAAATAAATATCACTGTTCATAGAGTCTAGCCTTTACTGGGCAGTCTCGTCCTTCACAATAAACATCAACACCGGTATGATATTGCTGAATCATGGCTAAAGTGATGCAAGGGGGTGTGTTAACGGTTCGTATAGTATCACGTCAGCTGAAGAACAAGGTGTTAGGTCAGTAATGGGGGGGGGGGGACCCACCTGTACACCTTTGCCACTTTCTTCCACCCTGGTGCCGTCCATCCTTGAACGTCTCTCACTGGAAGCCGGTTTAGATAGTTCGGTATATATGTCACTGCAATTGCAGTTAAGAGCACTATCCCTGCCACTTTCCAGGCCGACATGATCAGCGTGTAATCAGTAGTTGACCCAGTATTGTGGCTATTATTAGATCTGACTGTATTTATGTTTAAAGTGAGTTGTGTGTATCCTGGATGATTTTTGTCTTGTTCAATGCCGCTGTGTCTATCACTCGCTTAATACCTGCCTTAATTTATTCACATACCGCACGCGTTAATCTTGAATATTTGCTCGCGATCGTGTTTCATACCTTACCAAGGATTTTCTCACATCAAACAATGCATGCACTGCCCCGTCAATTATTGAATTTAAAAAAAAAGTTTAGTATTGTTTCGTAAAACAATTTAAGGTAAATATTAAATAAGAAATGTGCATTTGCCAATTTTGTTCAGATAGGCTATTACATTGTATCACATAGGCCCCTTATCGAGCGGTGCATTTAACTGGAATATGGTCGAGATCGTTTCACGAAAGACAGTAAAAAAATAAGTTTAGGTAAACAACTTTCGGATAACTTGCCAAAAGGAGTAAAAAAAACTTATATTATTACATGTAAGGACCTCTCAAAGTGGATAATCAGCATATAATCAGCATACTCCTGCCAGTCCTTCCACTACCATTCTTATTATTTGTAATAAATCAATAAATACAATATACAACAGTTATTTCTACAGCTACTGTGGCAGGGGCGGATCCAGGCTTATTTGAAGGGGGGTCCGCGGATGCGAAGCCGACCCCCCCCCCCCCAATAACCTAGTATATAACTGCCCTCTACCAGGGACTCAGATTAATTATGTGCACTTTTCTCCAACACTGATTTTGACAAAAACTATCCAGCCTAACAATTTATTCTGAAATTTCCGAAATGTCATCAGTGTATTTTTAACGTAAGAAAAAAATGCTCATATGCAGAAAAACACAAGGGGTAAGTATTACGTCACATACATGGTCGTTCTGGCCATGCAAACAAACGTTAGTATAAGTTGGAATACGCAGGAGATAAAAATCTTTGAACATTTTCGAATTTTTTCAGTGCGCACGAGTTTATGAGTCATACAGGTACATTTCCAATTCCATTCAACGTAGAATTCACCTCATAAATTCATTTAATATACCGTTCCCAAATGCATCTTTTCGATCATCTTTTTGTATGCATCAAGTTTATCTTTTTATTATTCAAAATCGAAATTTTAAGCCATATGTATTTGTCCATTAAATTCGAGTTTTTTTGGTTTTTTTTGCCTCTTTGCTTTCCCTTGTATAGGTGATACGTTATTCTTATTGGACTTTTTGTATTTCAAATAATTTTGTCTTTCGTCTTTATGTTTTATCTCTATTTAGTAACTCTCAAAATCGAAAGTTTTCTCAAAAGTCAACAGTCTCAAAGTGATTGACTGCATAATCTGAATTCGTTTGAAGGCAACTGATAATCAGTAACCCAATGCACTGAAGTTAGCAGGATATCGGTGCATATCTTAGAAGCACTTCACACTGAAAACCACTGAGAAAAAAAAACGTTTTATTCGTCCAAGGAAAAAGAAAATTTTATGTACAACATGTTATTTTAACTATACACAGATAAAAATAAGAAAAGTTGAGGGACACAAATCACATGTAAATGACCTCCCCTTCAATTTATAGAGTAGAACTGGATATACAGCTCTTTGCATCATGAAACCTGAATTAATGGGGTGCATGTCACATACATATTTACCATTATGAAATAAAACAGTATTTTGCATGCAACAACATCACAGATCAGTAGATCATTTGATCATAATCACACTTGGCTTTTTGAGATGTATCACAATTGTATTTTTGATATAGTAATGTCATCTTCTATAAGTACCGAGTATTAATATGTACAAAATGATTGTATCCAACATTTTCTTTACATCACATTGGCTTTTTAAAGTTTTTTACAAAATCTGCAGAAATTAAAGTATGATCCAACACTTTATATTTATAAATCATTAACTGATCAAAAACAAATAATATAATATAAGGGCTCATTCCCATTGAAACTATTGGTCTACTATCGGTCTACATAGACTGCTAGTTTCTATGGAAATGAGCCTTAAGTCATCATTTCTTCTCCATCAATTGAGTTTTTAGCATTTTCTCCATCCATCAAGTTCCTCTATGTTGAATTCAAAGCATTTAATGTCATTCCAGCTATTCCTTCCTTTACCAAGGAGACTTTTGTTTGCCACTGCTTGACACCCTCTTGTAAAAATTTCTCCCATGGCTCTGGCTTGGCATCCAGGACATCCCAAGTTACTGGCTTAGGCCTGGCCATTTCCCTGTTGAAGTCCAGCAGGTGCCCCTGGTAATGCTGGGCCTCTGTTTGTTGTCCATTGTCTCGTAATAAGGAGATTAGAGTCTCAAAACACATCTCTATCCATCTCTGCCACATCCCTCCACAATCTAGAACATAAATGTAATAGATATGATATGTAATAGGTTAATTGTTTGGGACCTTCCTCTCTGTTTTTAATTGAAATGACAGTACAGCCTTGTGCTGCTTTACTAAAATACAACATGGGACAACTAATGACTTAAATATCACAAACACAATAACAACGTGCAGAGATTTGATAGTTATAATTTCTTTGAAAAGTTCATTTAAATATCTGTTATGATTCAACTAAGCTCCAACATAAGATCCTAGGATTCAATAAAAGTAAAAATTTAATTTAAAAATGGAAGCATCTGATATGTATGTATAACGTGAAAATATATTTTAAAAATATGTATCAAATATACTCGCTAGCTTAAGGAAAAATATGCTTTAAATAGCACAAAGCATAAAATTTTGACTGTAACATATCTCATGCATATGTATTTTCCAAGCTTTCCAGTTATGGCCACTTCCACAAGAGTGAAAATGTATACCTGGTGCACTTACCAACATTATCCACCACATCCTTCAGCAAGTCAATAGCGATCTCCGGTCTCTGTGTCAACTTACAGAATGTGCCATATGTTGCTTTGGCCATGTAAGCGTAATAGCTGTTATGGGGCTGGCAAAGTTTCAAAATCTCTAAGCTCATTTTCAGCTTTTCTTCAGCTTCTTCATATCTTAAAAAAAGTAAAATATAAAAATTGCATTTGTCATATGCAAAAGAAACATCTTTATTGTGCTCCTAACTACACTATTTATTGATAATAAAATGCAACTTACAAAAGATATTTTAAAGGTACACAATGAGTATTTCATATTTTAAAGGTACACAATGAGTATTTCATATATATATATATATATATATATATATATATATATATTCAGGAAAGCCCTAAAACCCCAAAATATACCATACCCAAAACCATTGACAAAGTTCAGACCTATAAAACCCTTTTTGAATTCTTTCTAGTTTTTGTGTCTCATAACACAGATGCAGATTGATGAATTTCACTTGAAATGGTGCAAGTGAAAATAAAGCTACAAAATAATAAAATAATAATTTTGTAATTTTCTCAATAGTTTTGGATATGATATAGCTTGGTGATTTGGGGAAATTGTTGAAATTTCTAGGAATTTTTTTTTTCACTACAGAATGGTCTAATCTGTCAAATGCACATTGTGCCAGTATGCCTTTGAAAAGAAAATTTTTCATTTCACCTTGGACTTCTGAAAATAATGCAGCACCTTGTTTGTATTCTTTTCCTTTGTGCATCTTGGTTTTATTGAGCAATTGCCTGTGCATCTTTTTTTCTCTTAATTAAAAAAATTACCTGTCCATCTTGATGTATATCTGTCCCAGCAGGCTGTGACCCTGTGCACTTTTCAGACTGATATCACCGAAGAATGCCACAGTAGTATTGAGATAAGCTTTGGCCTCAGCCTCTGCCTGGATCAGGGGCCCTACTCTCTCATCCTTCAGTGCATTGACAGCTTTCCATTGTAAACAGGTAGCTGTGGAGAAGAGAAAAACGGAAATTTCATTTATATATAATGAATAAATAAGTTTCCTATTTTATATGCCAGTAAGTTTGGTTTTGTGATTGGAATAGTGTACATGTACATGTACATGCAAAGCTTCACTGGTGCCCAGACTGTTAGGTACCCCTGTAATCAGTGTCATACTACAAAAGTCAATAGAAAGTATTGCTATGTAGAAACCTTCTTTACTATTAAGGTAGATCGGTCGTTACGTAATTTGACGATTTGCGCAATTTCAGCGCATCGTCAATCGTCTCTAACGACACTTCGGTCTGTTTTATCAATTTGAGGGAATAAAACAGTTATCTATAAGATAAACATACATTATCAACTTGTATGTAACTCTGTATGATCGATACAGATTTTCAACAACGTTTGTCGACTATGATTCCATACGACAACTGTAGCACGTTCATAGACTTGCCCTTCAAGAAATCGTCGGAATAGCTCCTTCTCCAATTTGATTTGGCACTAGAAAATGTATGACAGCTAAAGCTCACAAATTATGCAGTAGGTGCTATATCATGTAAAGAATAAGTGTTGTAAATTCCAATCAAAGCGGCTGCGTACATTTTGAGGTAGAACGCCCTGAANCAGAGAGGGGAACTTACCAAGTGTATGCCTGAACAAGGACAGCTTAGGATGGAGACTTGGTATGTTATCCATGGCAATCTGGAGAGCTGTCTGTGCATAGGATAAATACAAGTCCTCACTGAAATCCTGGCAGACAATCAGGGCTTTGGCCAGGGCTCTGTAAGCCAGGGCAGCATGAAGGGTCTCCATGCCATAGATTTTCAAAGCCACAACCACTGCATCCTAGACAACACAAACATACAGGTATCTCAAATAAGAAAATGTGTAACAGTATCTGATCATGTGATATTTTCAGAAGAGATGATGTTGGTGAATGGTGCTTAATGTATTACCAACCACCATCAGGCTATTTAAGTAAAGCTACAAAATGTATCTGTATTTCAGAATTAATAAGGTGCTTACTCCAGGATATTAATAATATTACAACCTGACAAAAATGATGCACATATGCATGCAGTTTAGTTAAAACTATTTGACCAAGATCTGAATCATAATTATTTTAGCATATGTAAATTTTCTATAAAAAATTCTAAGAGTTATCCATACTACCAGCAAGTAATTCATCATTTATATGGCTTAAATTTGTGATATGTCTGAAAGAATAATTGTAATTACAAGCAGACTTAAATTCTTGTGTATTTCAAAAAATTAATCCTCATTCACCTTGGCTGCATCCACCCCAAATGTATCCTGTCTGCATTCATTGGAGAAGTAACAATAATGTAGCAAGGCTTTCAAGTATTGGGGGTGATTGGTCCCAAAGAACTCCCTGAAATATGACAAATATGCAAAGATGATTTTAAAAATGTATAGTTAAAACCTTTTTCATTTGTCATAAATTCTACCTCCAATTAAAGGTCTTCATTATCATTATTATAAAATGGCAATATTCCAGAAAGTTTTTTTAAAAGCATAACTTCTGCAGTCATTTGTGCATTAGGACATACTTTGCCTGTCTCACAGCTTGTATTGCCAGTTCCTCCGCTTTCTTCAAATTAGCCTTGGCACTGTAGGTGAGGACTGATTCACATAACACATTTATTATTGTATGGTGGTTGGAAGGTTCTACCTCCTGATAAGAGGAAAAAAGATTTTTCAATCCAAATATTGAAACTGACATATTCTAGTGAAAATGGTATATATATATATAAGTATAATATACATGCAAAAAATAGTTGATAAATAAACTGCACAATTATGCAAGCTTCCACACAGAATTTTATACAAAGATCATTCAAATTGTGTGCCTGCTGAAATTACTTATAAATAAATCCATCCGTTGATTATGGGCAGGGGAAAATTTTGATTTAAAACTAATGTTTCCTTACCATCATAGCTTTCTGTATCCACATGTAAGCCGGCCCAATACTACCAATCTCTCTTAGCATAATACTATTTTGAAGAAACTGCTCTCCTTGGTCCAAGATGTCCTTTCCAAATGCCACCATCTCAATGTTGTTACTTGCCCTCATGGCAGCATAATATGCATTGTCAGCCCTGTTAAAGTCATAGTTATTGTTGCAGAGTGTCATCAGCAAAACACTGGCGTCATACTCAGATTTCCAGCTCTCAATTCCAGGGTACTTGGATAAATACTGCTGAAATGAAACTAGGATCTTCTCTGCTTCAGGAAAGTAACCAAATTCTTGGAGAAAGTATACAAGGTTAAAGCAGATCTTGGTCATTAACATGATGGAATCGTGGGTATTAGGATTTTCTATGGTCTCCACGAGCAATGCATAAACCCCTACAAATTCCTTGGCAATGTCTATGTAGTGGGATTTCTTCAGCTGGTCAAAATACTTCATGTAAAGATGATGGCAATCACGATCAAACAGAAAATCTTGGGCTGCTTGACTCATCAGCAGTGACCCACAAGGTAACTGATGTCTAGAATGAAGAGCATAGGCGACTTCCAGCTGCTGCATTTTACGGAAAACTTCCTCTTCATCAGCCAGTTGCATTTTGTCTGCCATGAGAGGTGATTCTTCCAGGCGCCTGGCATGTTCAACTGGGTATTCAAGTAGGCTGGTGTAGTTTTCTGGTGCTTTAAGCTCAAATGATCCTGCAGGCACAGATGTGGCTCTTAGAATGGGTGTTTTCTCTTCACTATGAGATGGCTTTTCAGACTGTCTGCTCTCCAATTCACCTTTCTCTTCAGCAGGACTCTCATCAACATTGAATGTTACAGTGCCACGCCCACTTACAACACTTGGGATCTCTGGGGATATGTTAGGCAAGGGGGAGTATTTTGGAAATTTCAGCAGATCCACTCTCTGGTCAGTTTCACTTATGTTACCCCTTGGAGATGTTTTGGGTTTGATGATTGTGTTGTCCAAGAACTCCACTAACATGTGGTATGTTTTCCTAGTGGCTGCATCAGCTTTGGCATTGACCAGAGCATACCTGAAGTGTTTATACCAGTCCGATCCTTTCTCTTTTGTCGACAGTACATCAAGAAGGAGCCTGGCTTTGTCTTGATGTGTTGTTCCACTTTCAATTTCATTTACATCCTTCATGTCGATTACATTTTGCTCTTGGAGATGCTCTAACACATGTTCTACTTTCAAGTCCTGTACAATAGCTATTCTGTTCACTCTAAGCCTGGCCTTGTTCTGGACATCAATGGAGCCCATGTTTGGCACAATAATTGCTCTGTTTAAAAAGGAAAAAATATACTTTGGGTCAATAAATAATGCTCCAAAGTGTTAATTTGAATATCTCAAAACATTCCAATATATTCCCCTAAAATATGATTTAATACCACTGCACTGAATTGCATACTGATGTGACATACATCTATGATTTTTAAAATATGCAAGGCCAAAATATAAATGAAATTGTGGTCTCTTGGGAGATGAACCTCCTCAAGACAGTTGCAGCCTAAATCCAAATGATCATGACACTTTAATAAAAATGATGCCAAGTACAATACCACTTATGTCACATATACTGTGGGAACATTTTGAACTAGTTGTGTTGGAAAAGATAGATGGCAGGGTTCACAATTATGATGTCACAACAATGGGTTGTTTAAAACCAAAAAGAATGTATATCCTGGTGGGAGTATCACTGATCACAAATAACAGGAACATGTCTCAGTAAACTTGAAAAATGTTTCTGCTTGATGTTGTGATGTGCATTATTAAAAAAAACTAAGACCATTAGTCTATGCAAGTGAGCATTAGACCAAATAATTCCCTTTCTATAAAATTGTGGGCCAAACACTAAAAAATTCATTCTGCCATGCACTTTTGGACTAAGATTTTTGTAAATGTGCAAAAATGTCCATCAGCTTGGTTGTTGGATATACATGAAAATTCTCAAACACAAGCCTAAAATTTTCCATACCGTTAGCTTAGTGCACCTAGCAGTCAGTGAGTGTGAACAACTACTCACGTCAGTCTGATGAAGGCCTTCGACCAGGTTGGCCATAAGCTAATGATACAGAAAATTTTAGGCTTGTGTTTGAGAAGATTTTTGTAATTTAAGAGCCACAAGCATATGCCTCTTTTATCCTCCCCAAATGCATAGAGGTTATCGTCATGAAAATAAAAGCACCCTTTCATTACCCTACTTGTGGCATCAGATTTAGGATATGTTTATCATCACTCAGTGTCATAGAGTGCAATAAACTGTCAATTATCAAATTTGATCATGTTCATAAACATTCATAATCAATTATTAATTGTGAAATATACACAAAAGATTTGAAAATTCTGATGTTAAGAATTTGAGATGGCAGGAAATTTGTTTTACCTAGGGCTTGTAACATAATATTTCTGTTCAAGCTTGGCCATAACTGAAACAAAACCAAAATAAAAATAGGTGAGCATGCATAAATGTCCAAAAAAAGGCAAAGTAAAAATAAAATAGAAGTAAAATGACATAAATAAAACAGAAAATAGTGAAAACAACTTTAGGCACAAGGCTGTACTACCGCTACATTGATGTGGCCCAGCATTAAATTTTATTTTAAACCATATTTCCAATGACCACAGAACTAAACTAAGAACCAATGACTTGTGCGTCTAGATATCAATTTATCCTGGCACATATGCACAACGGTGGACTAGTATGGTATCACAACGGTCGTTTTGACATTTTGTGGTAGCAAAATTACATGTACATCGAGAGCACGAGTACAGACGTGGAAGATATATTTATCAAAATAAGCCAAATTTTGAATTTTACTAGTAGTGACGTGTATGTTAAAGTTTGTTTTATATAAAGAACAGTAAAGCACAGCTCTGATAATAAATACTACCGCAAAACATACGGCAGGTGTATGTTCCTTTTGCATAGCAACAAGCCAGAGCCGACCGGGCACTTGTAAACATATTGTAAATCTTGACAAATCCCGGGTACAATAAGCATATGATAACAAATTAATTTCTAAACATTCATATGGCTATTTTTAACATCGCACATACCTTGTTTTTCGAGTAAATACGTGTTATAGTGAGAATTATATAAAAACTTAAGTGATGTTACATTATCTCAACCTCGCTGTCTACCATTTGTAAACTACCCAGAAATCCATACCACGCATGCGTATTTCAGCAGGAAGTCTTAGTTGTTAATCGGCTGCAAAATGCGACATTTCAAGGTGTGTAGAAAATGAAAATAGTCTAGACTAAATAGGTCTCATCTGATATCGTTAAACATTTGCATGTAGATATTAGGACTATAAACTCACTTGAGGGCAACGTTGTGAGAATGAGAATGCAGTGATGATTTGCATTACCACATGGTTCTTACAATGCAGTCTGCGTGTGTGTGTGTTGTGGGGGGGGGGTTTAAGCTAGTTTAGACTAATATTTTGTTGCCCTGTTTTACTGAATTTCAAATGATATCCAAGATACTTGTCACTGACCATAAAATTAGTGTTGAGTGTTAACTCATTCTTGTGACAAACTTTGTTATACCATATTGTTTTCAATTTGGTATTTTTGCAGCCCCCCCCCCCCCCCCCCCCCCCCCCCCCCCCCC